TTAAGTTTCTTTTGGGACCAACAGCTTCTTAATGTCCAAACAAAATGGTGATAATCTTGCGAGACAAGGGAGAAATGGTGAGTTATAATGAGGGTGAATATGATAGCATGCCGGACAGGAGAGCTGAAGATGAGATCTATGTGATCGAATAGAGTAATTAGGCATGTAGCTATATCGAACCAAACTGAAGGCAGCCGAATGGCCTATGCGGCCGCATACAAGTTCACTATGCGGCCTCATGGTACAATTCCGGATGTTTTTTTTTTCAAATTTTGTCTAAACTTCTATTTTAGTTAAAATTCTTATTTTGGTATCTTTTTTATAGCATTTAGGCTCATTTCCCTTTTTAACTAGAGTTTTATGGATTCCCTATGTATAGTATTATTCTTTTAATTGTAAAACACATAATTTGAGAGATATTATTGCGAAATATATTGCTTTCTACTCATTCTTCATTGAATTAATTCCGAACTTATCAAGAATTAAATTCTTGTGACGTTTAACAATTTAAGTATGATTTATAAGTTTTGCGATCACGTGATCAAGATATTTTTGACGATTGTCTTGATTCTTTGGTTTAATAATTTATCGAGTCGAGCTTTTCAAATGATGATTATTGATTTTCTTGGATTTGATCTAATATGTCGTGGATTTTGTAGTTTCAATTGGTATGTGGGTTCACATCAGATTAAATACCGAAATATATAACAATATAAAAGGGTTAGAACTATTCATTTTAATAAGGTTGATCTTTTAAGATACAATCTCAATTACACATTTTATGGTGACGTAGTTTTGATTTGAATTTAGTGCAAGTGAAGCCGAGGCTAAGTGTAGGGTATTTCATCTGAGGACTACTCTCCCTCCAGCTGAGAAAGGCATGCTGCAATAATTTCGAGTTTCAAGAAATTTAACGACAGGCATCTAATCGTATATTGCTTTATGCTCTGTTTTATCGAGCTTGTATTCTCGCAACTCTGATACAAAATTAACTATATTACTGTTTTAATCTTTACAAATGTGTTCGGTGGTTGAAAACATTTTAAAGCAAAAGAAAGAAAAAGAATGAAAATAATTGATGTACTTTTTTGCGGCTTTGATGCATATTTAGATGCACAAAGCTGACCAATTTACATTGAAATGGACATGTTCTAGATGCCCAAAACGCTGCAAATTGGATCAATTTTACAGCTTTCAATAGCTGCACTCTACAAGAACCCTCTTTAATTTGTAATGCATCGCTCAAAACTAACGTATTTGATTTGGATCAATCTACCCTATATTTTGTCATATATTTTTTAATTATTTGAATTCGACTTCAGATACCATTACTAAAAGAATTTTATTATGAAAAAAAAAAAACACTTAAAAATAAAAATAAAGTAAAATTTTGGTTGTCATCCTAAATTTTATGAAGTTCTCGATTACTTTTTTAGGAAAAATTGTATTGGCCTCTTGTAATAGTGAGTTGTTCTTCAATCTTTAAAAATGGGCAAGTTGGTCTTCAATATTTTATTAGCCTGTTTGGTACGACTCAAAATCCAATTAAAATTGAAAATATAGCCATTATTGGGTCTCACTCATCTAATAAAAGTCAATAATAACGGCTAATTTTTCAATTTTAATCCGATTTTAATCTCTACCAAACACCCTCTATAATTGTAAACTTAGTCGTCAGTTAGAGCAACAATCCAAATCTTCGTTAAATTAATGTGTCATCCTTGTGAAATCACGTATCACTCTAAATTTTGGGGGAGTAGCCTATAGCTATGTCAACGAGCCGAGCTCAAGCCGGAAAAAAAAGCTCGGGTTCGGCTCGAGCTTTTTTGGACCGAACTTTTTTGGGCCCGAACCGAGTAAAGCTAGGTCAAAAAAATGAGGCTCGACCCTAGCCTTAACGGGCCCAGCCGGCTCGAGTTTTTTGAATTTTTTTTTAAAATAAAAAGGCTGCCTGTAGGCAACTTGTTGCCTTTGCGGCAGTTAAAACTAGATGCCTGCAAAGGCAGCTGGTTTAAAAAAAATTAATTAAATTTTTTTTTTTTATTAATGGGCAGGCTCGCTAGGGCCACGGGCTCGCTCGGGCTCGAGCCAACGCCCCAAAACGAGGCTCTGTGTAATCGAGCCCGAGCTGGGCTCGACTTGGGCTTTTTTCGGGCCGGGCCTGAATCGACGAGCTTTTTTGCCATCCCTAGTAGCCTATGCTATAAAGCAAAACCCATCTTTGTAGAGCTAAAAATTCGATGTTTCCATGACGATTTAGTAGAGTTTTGGACAATTTTGTCATTGAAAATTAATATATATTAGAATGAAATGTTAGGACCAATTTACTCTTTTTCAAAAGTAAAGGTCAATTTGTTATCAACAAAATATATTATTCGATTAATTCATCTCCAGTACAATTTGTCAGCGTCTGTATCAAGATGTGATAAATAAAATTACAGGTATTATTTAAAGCCCCACCTAATTCAAAAACTCTATAAAATTCAATATCATATTTGTTGGAAGTTTTTCAAGTTAAATATCTCCAAGATAGCAATCTATGGAGATGCTCTTATGTTGATCACATAATTTCTGAATCCTGGTGAAAAAAAGTATTTAATAGGCGTTGCTGCCATGCAATCAGAAACTTTCACGGGCACAATCACTTATTTTTTTCCTAGCTTTTAAGCTACTACTGTTTAGGTCACGTACTCCTCGAGACATTTAATTCTTATTTAAAGCCCATTCTCAGTTTCCTGATTCTCTCTTTTCATATTTTCTTCTTCCTTTCTCTCCAAGATTTTCCATTCAAGTTTCTTGGGAATATATTCTATAAGTTCCCTCTTTTTTTCCAAATGTTTCTTGATTGTCGAACATCAAATTCTTGATTGTTGAACTTTTATATATGGGTCTTACAGACAAGTTTCATAAAGGAGATGGAGGTGTGGAGTCTGATGACAAAAAAATTGTTAGTTCTTGTGTCAATTTGCCAAGCCCCATGAAGCCTGTAATTTTAAATTCTGAAGAAAAAGGGCTTGAAAAAGAGGATGAAGGCAAAGAGAGTCCAAGAACACCAATTTGTGCAAAATCAAAAATTCCTAGTAAGTGGGTATGCCCACCAGCCCCCAAGAAGCCAAAAACTAGTTCAAAATTTCATAATCGTGCTGCCATGGAATTCTTCCAACTCCCAGAGGATTGGGAAACAATTTTCAGACTCGGCGTTAAGTGAGAAGCACTATTAGACTGTACTTAATACTGAGCATTATAACAAACAAGATTTTAGCTTTTTCGGGTTTTTCTTTGATTTTCAATGCCTTCTTTATTTAGGGATTTCATTTATGTGTGTTTGATGCACATTAAAATGAAAAGAATGCATTTTTTTTTTGTGATGTGATGTGATGGTGAATATGTAGTTGAAAAAGAAGGAAAGTTATTGATGTGATGGAAAATATTATTTTATTGAAAAATATGTAGTTGAAAATGAGTAGAAGAATGAAAATGAAAATGAGGATGTAGCTCAAATTAGATTACAATTACAATTACTTATTGTTTCTTGGTTTTCTTTAATTAATTCACCATATTATTTTCTTCTTTTATAATGGAAAATTATGTGATTATTTGCCATCCCTCCGCGAGCATTAGATTTTTTATTCTTTCTTTCTTTAATCATGTTTGCATAATAGGGAACAAAATAATCGATTATTGGCAAATCTTGAGGAAAGTGGATATGAAGAAACTCAAGAGGTTCATTTTTCAAAATTTTGATGTGGTGATTTAGTAAATCCAATGCTTTTAATATTTTCTTTCCTTCTCGATATCCAGGATAAAAATTAGATTTATAGTAGATTTTGATAAACGTTAGTAAAATGTATAATTGAAAATTTGATAAAGGTTGAAAGTTTTATGAAATGTGCGATCGAAAATGAATTTGAAGAAGTGCGAGCCAAAGAGAGACAAACACGATTAGTTAAATGCACATGCAACTCCATCTGGTAAAAGCATTTAACGTATAGTTTGACTTTCTTGTAATAGGATTGGTGTAAATTTAACCTACTAAAAGTAAAAACGATCATGATATAAGTACATGAAATTTTGACAGACAATACATAATGTGGAATCGTTTGAAGAGAGAGAGAGAGAGAGAGAGGGGCTAATCATGCGCCGCCACATTAGCATCAATATGAATTCTGTCAACATTTTTCTGTACTTATGATTTTTTCCAAGTGAAAAATGATGGATACAGTCTGATTAGATTTGTTGGAAAGAAAATCGAATCAAACCAAGAACTAATGAGAAATAGCTAGCTAATCAATCTCTATCTTTTATATCACTTGATTTTTCCGTAATTTTACAGTTTTTAAAGCAATAGTGTATCTAATTAATTATTACTTTTGTTATTCATTTCTAATTTTCTGTTCTTGTTGTTGGGTGAATCTGAAAATAGATTCATATTATTGTTAGATACTATTTACCCCATAAGTAAATATATTTGTACTCACAATATTTTTAAATAAAATATAAATTTATTCATTTATTTTTCGATAAATTCATTGCACTGATTTGAGATTGCATTTGTTCATGGATCGTTTTGATATTATAAATGGAATGCTTAAGTTATTTAGTATAGAAAGATTCAATTTATAATTTGATCTAAATTTATATTCCACGAAGGATAAACAAAGACAACCACTTTTTTTTAATAAGATCTGTTCAATTTCTCCTAATCAAGATAAGAATGTGGAGAAGAATCAAAACAATTTGTTCTCTCTTTTCTTCTTTGAGTGAAAGGTGAAGCACTTCATCTGGGTTTATTCCAAAACTGAGTTAGGGGTGACTTTGAGTGGACTTTCTTCGTATGATCGGAGAGGGTGTTCAATTTCCGTTATATGTGATTCAACGAGATATGTCTTGCATGCATTAAGATTTAAAACTTGTCATCCACTTTCAAGAAATTTTTGGAACAGAGAACTTATAATAATACGTCTCATTCTCCAAAGATTGAGAAAAAAAAAAGAGGAATTCATCACCTATTTAATAGGCATGATAATGAATTTTTGGCGGAATATTAAATATGAGCCCAATAATTCAACATTGATTGGGGAATTAGTGTTGTGACGTGATACATGGTAATGTCAAATAGAAAATGAGATTTGAGGATTATGTACATTTGAAAAGAGTGTTTTGGCCATTTTTAACCTTATTCCAAATATTCAAAACGATCAATGAGGGTAATACAAAAGACCGATAAGTTAAATGATAATAATTAGTGATTATATAGCTTCAGTAATTTCAATTTGATCGAAAATCCAACATAGTGCAATAAAAATTAAAATCAAATCCTACACTGGGATGTGTTGTCATCACAAGAAATTAACAATTTTTTTTTTACATTAAATAGTCATATTGAAGAGAATAGGAACACAAATACCAGTTGAAAATAGGGACACATTGTATCATAATTTGAAATTCATAACTTTTGCAAATACGAGTTGAAGAAAATAGGGACCCAAATTGTTGCCCAACCAAATAGATAATCCAATGGAGTTGAAAAAAAAATTTCTGAACTCTAAAGAGCTATTGTGCCATAAAATGTAGTGCAGTAGATGTGAAACTTGTCCATTTTATTAAAAGTTTACAGGAATTTAACCCGTAAATCCATTCACTAATAAGTTCGCAATTCCATTTTTAACCAATAAATTTTAGTTTAGTTTAGTTTTTGTGCATGCGTGTGTGTGGTGTGGGGGGATGGGGTGGGGTGGAGTGGAGTGGGTAAGGTGAGAGTATTCCAACTGTTGTTTGTAGCTGAGGAATGTTGAACAATATAAAGAAGTTACATGGATTGCACGTAGCCACGTCTTACCGTATGTAAATTAGGGAAAATTAGGGACTTCCTTTCCAAGCTTTTGTATATGGGAAAAGCTGTCGGTATTGTATGTGGCATAATTTTAGCAATTGGATTAAATATGTTTTTTTTTTTTTTTTTTATGAAAGATGGTGCGAGATCTTGCAAAGTGTAAATTCTATAAACGAAGTGGTACATGAGGATGTATGTGTAACAAAACTCTATATATATTGGTCGTAAATTCTCATTTTGATTTCTCAACCCCGTCCCAACTTTACTATTTTGGGTTATTTTTTAAACCGACCCTATTCAGGAACAGAAATCCCCCCGACCAGACTCGACTCGGTTCGTGCTGGGTCAACTTCATTTTTTTTTCCCTTGTTTTCAATTAATTTCTAACTTCCAAATGATTCTTATTTTCCTAAAATGAAATCAATAAAAGCTTAATATGTTTTCTTTGATAATATTTTGTCATTTCATAAATCATGGAGTCAAAAAAAATTAATAGAAACAAGGTAATTGAATTAAATTAATAACACATTAATAAAACTAAACACCATAAAACATAAAATTTAAATATTACAGTTACCCAACAATTAAAAATCTTACAGTAATCCAAACTCAAAAATAAAAATGCTAAAATCATCTAAATTCTTAACTCTTAAAAATCAAATAATAAGGTAAAATATTCAACTTCTGAATTCTCGCATAAGGTTTAAGCATCATTCCTACTATAAAATAATAAAAATACTCAAAGAAAAAGATAAATATTTCATTAATAAAGAGTTATGCATATTAGAATTACATATCTACCTCAAAAAATAATCACATTGATTTATCTTTTTCAATTGCAATTTCTGATCCAAATACAATTGATAAATATTTCTAACAATAGTTCTATGAGATAGAAGATCAAATTTAGGACATGTTACCCTACAAAATTGTCTAAACCCCTCACTTTCGACAAAACTAGAAGGTAATTCATCCAATATTATCATCCTAGCACATGCAATCCTACACTCTTCCTTATTAAAGCCAACTAGAATGCTCACTTCACCCTCGGTTAGGCATTCTTGTCGTTTGTCTTCCAATATTCCTGGATACTTCTTACAATAAGAAAGCAAATGATTCATCAAGATACCAGTCCCATATTTCCTAACGCCACAAGCATAATCATGCCCACAATAATTGTATGCACACCTAATATCTTTTGCGTTTGGATTCCCAACAACTGTAAGATGTTCCCACACATCCGATGATTTTCTATTTTTTCTCTTCTATAAACATGATTTTGGAATTGAAGGAAGAGATGTTGTTGAAAGAGTTTCACCGATAGCTTCCATTTCACTATCTATATCCATGTTCATACTATACAAATAAACAAGAAACCAAAAAAGAACTTCAATATTAATTTGCAAGCAAAATCTGTGGACTAATTGTATAGAACATTGAACTACTGGGGAAATAGAATAATTGTAGGTTGGGGACCAAGTGAATAAGAGAACTATAGGTTGGGGACCAAATGAATAATTTTCACAATGAAATTACAAACCTGCAAATACAGTGCTCTAATTGCCTCTTGACCCCTTCACCGTACCATATGTTACCCATGATACTTGCTTAATAGATAATAAGATAGAAGACTCAGCATTCCACACTATTTTAACTAAAATGTTTAATTTTCAATTTTTCATTCCAATTTAGCTTCACATCACATGGTGCAATTTTGAAATAAAAAATAAGATTTAGTCGGGAGACGGGGGTCTTGGTTTCTTTATAGAACCAGAGAAACCATTCTTGAAATTTTATTTAGCATTGATGTCATTATCTGAAACCAACACAAGCACAGAAGTACGAGTAATGTACAGTCAATTTCATCAAGTTTTTCCAAAGAATCAGGAGCATAAGCTTCGACAAAGAAACTTACATTTCTATTCAACGCTTTACTTCCACGTCATTTGTCACACAATTATCTTGACTCGCAATAATATTAAAAATACTTCCATGTCCCAAACAATTTACAACTATTACACTGACTCTATTTAGCAACTTGATTCAGAAAGTCTCAAATTCACAAAAATTATTGCAGCCCAGTTGCACAAAAATCTTTAATATGAAAAAAAACACATACCCGGAGAGGAGAGTTTGCAACTTATGTTTTCGAAGCAGGGAGAGGATTTCACACGAATAAGGAAGGTTTTACATAGGATATGGGTTGGGTCGGTTTTTTTAAGATTTGAAAATCGATTCGCCCCGTTTTTAAACTCTAAACCGACCCAAGCCGACCTTTAACGGTTCAAGTCGGGTCAATTTTGTGGGTTGCAATTTTTGGGCCTAGTCCTAATTCAACTTGTTTAAGTCCATGTTTGGTACACATTAAAATTTTC